CCCTCGGCCCTCCTCCCCTCGGCCCTCCTCCCCCCGGCCCTCCTCCCCCCTTTTTCACCTCTCTTTGCAACGGAGCCGCTTTGGAAGAGCATTTTTTGCCCAAAGCGGTGAGGCAGAGACTATATATATCTCTCCTTCATCGAGGCCTTCGCTAACCTCGATTCTTCAAGCAGCAAGATGGCGGGCCCCAAGAAGTGGCTCGCGAGCCGGGCCCATCCTGAGGCCCAATACCCGAACAGAATAACGACCAACCTCTGGTCGTTGGATTTGGGCACACTGACCGGCCCAGAGACCATCAACATCAACAAGACGGTCACTTCTTTCTCTGGCGACAACTCCATCAGCATCGAAGTCGATGCTTTTTCGAAGCGGCTTACTATTCTTTTCCCGCTCCGTATCAAAGTAACTGAAACAGATTTCATGACTCGAGAGTACAAACTCTTGGCCGATTTGAGTCTGATCAAGACTGTTTTTCACGTTACAAAGAAAAATGGCCGAGAATCACTTGTTTTTCGGTTCCCTCTCCCTCCCCAGTATTTCTGGAAGACTCATAACCTACCACCAAATTCTCTCTTCAGCCGCAACCCACCAGATGTCTGGAGAAGGGCCACAGATATCACTGAGGACGCTACAGTCCCAATGAATTACCCAGTATCTTTGAACAACACCAAGTCAGACCCAGCGTACTTAGAAGTTGGCCGCTGGACTGCCTTTCGCATGACTCTCAATACCGCAGACGAGGCTTCGAAAAGAGCTCTCGAGCACATGAAACTGGCCTTGGAAGACCTCAACATTACAATCCAGGTCTGTGACAATTTTCAAGTTGACGCTTCCAACACTACCATGTGGGATTTTCTCGATCATCCACAGGACAATAATCAAGGAGACGCACTGGCTCTTCTGCAGCCGTCAAAGTTTCCATTCATCCACCTGGACTTTGGTGTCCGATATCAGCTCGAAGTATGCGTTGGTCGCAGGGTGCTCAATGAGCACACCATCTCACCCGAATTCCTCCAGAAACTTGCCGAAATGGACCCTCTTGACGCCAAGCGCAGGCTTGAGTTTCTCCTGGACCAGGGCGAAGTCATGTACGACCCCAATCAACTCTTCACATCGTCCGCTGCAGCATCATACGTACCAAATACAAGAATTCCACATTACTGTGTTTTGGCACGGAAAGCTGCCATCACCCCAACCACTATCCTGTTGAGCTCTCCTATTGTCGAGACTTCAAATAGAGTTCTCCGCTACTTCAACCACATCCAAGACCGCTTTTTGAGGGTACAGTTTGTTGAAGAGACAGAAATTGGTCGCATGGCCATGAGCTCTCGCAATAAAGAAGACATATGGAAGAAGATTTTTCGGACCTTGTACCAAGGCATTCAAATTGGTGATCGCCGCTACGAATTTCTGGCATTCGGCAGTTCGCAACTCAGACAGTGCGGAGCTTACTTTTTCTGCCCGACAGATCATATTTCGTGTGATGATATCCGCCGGTGGATGGGAGAAGTCGGCCACATCAGAATCGTCGCCAAGCATGCTGCAAGGTTAGGCCAATGTTTCTCTACTACAAGAGAGATGAGGGGCCTTCCTGTCCCAGATGTCCGGCGTATTCCTGATATTGAAAGGAATGGATACTGTTTCACTGACGGGGTCGGAATGATATCCGAATTCATGGCCCGGATGATCATCGAAGAAATGACCTTGGATGTCTACATCGAACCATCGGCGTTTCAATTTCGCATGGGTGGATGCAAAGGCGTGTTGGTAGTCTGGCCCCAGGCCAAGAAAGGAGAAGTCTATATTCGTGAGTCTCAAGAGAAGTTCAGGGCCGACATCAAGGGCCTAGAGATCATCAAATGCGCCAAGTATTCTTCCGCCACTCTCAATCGACAGACAATCACCATTTTGGAGTGTCTCGGTGTAACCACACAGGCCTTCTTGGACGTCTTGGAGAAACAGATTGGCCTCTACGAGGAAGCAATCAAGGACAACAACGTAGCGGTCGATGTTTTGACCAAGTATGTTGACGAGAACCAATCTACTCTAATCTTAGCAGAGCTTCTGCAAGCTGGCTTCAAGACAGAAACGGTCCAAGAACCGTTTGTAACAAACTTACTCACTCTCTGGAGATCATGGTCCTTGAAGCTGCTCAAGGAAAAAGCCAGAATTCCCATCGAAAAAAGCGCCTTTGTCTTGGGCTGTGTTGATGAGACAGGTACTTTGAGAGGCCACTCAAACTCGACCGAAGGCACCTCAGATAAAGACGTCAACAAACTCCCCCAAATCTTCTTGCAGGTGTCAGATTCGAAAGTATACGATCAGACCACTGTAATCAAAGGAGTTTGCGTCGTTGGAAGGAATCCATCGCTGCATCCAGGCGATATCCGGGTAGTTGAGGCAGTCGACGTACCGGAGCTTCACCATCTCAGAGACATTGTTGTTTTCCCTTCAACCGGAGATCGGCCAGTCCCCAACATGCTTTCTGGAGGAGATCTTGATGGAGACGACTTTTTCATCATTTGGGAGCCCACTCTGATTCCCAACGAGTGGAATCACCCAGCCATGAACTATTCCAGCCCCTCGCCTGAGAAACTTGACCGCGACGTGAATGCCGACGATCTACGAGACTTCTTTGTCAAATACATGCAGAACGATGTGCTCCCACTCATTGCAACGGCTCACTTGGGACTCGCAGATTCCGATGGCCCCAAATCGGAGATTTGTAAGTAGAGAAAGCATCGATTCAGATCCCTCCTGTTCACGACTGCAGACTAACGAGTCTAACATTAGGTCTGCGTTTGGCGGAACTTCATTCACAGGCTGTCGATTATCCAAAGACTGGCGAGCCCGCGGAATGGAATCCAAGTCAGCACAATCCACAGGAGTGGCCACATTTCATGGAGAAGAGGGTCTGTTACAAATCGGAAAAGGCCCTGGGAAATATCTACAACAGAGTGGTCAAGCAATCCATTCAGTTCCGGCCGGACTGGGAAAACGCCTTTGATCAGCGAATCATAAACAGATTCCAGCTAGACAACGATATGCTCAAGGACGCCAGGAAGATCAAGTCTCAGTATGATATTTCGGTGCGACGCATCTTGCTGCAGTACAACTTGGCGACCGAATTCGAATTGTACACATCTTGGGCCATGTCAAAGCCCTCGATCGGCAGCGATTATAAGCGACAGGAAGAGCTCGGAAAGGAGTTCGAAGCAGTGAAGCAGAGATTCCGCGACGCGTGCTATGAAGCGGCCGGCGGCTACAATGAGGCCAAGATTGACAGATTTGTGGCAGCCATGTACAAGGTTACAGAGGAGGAGATTAAGATTGCGCTGTTTGAGCATCACCGTGGACCGACAAATGAGGGCGGTGTAATCGTTCCAGCCCGGAGACTCGAACCCAAGTCAATGCCGTTCATCAGCTTCCCTTGGATTTTCCCCTGGGTCATGATTCGTATTGCGTCTGACGGAAAGTGCAATCCCAAAAAGTCCATTCTCGCCGCGGCTCATCAACGGGTGCCTATCTCTTTGCCTCCTATCACCCCATTGACTCAAGAGAACCACCCTGAAGCCAGTACTGGTAGAATTGGTCAAGTGCCCCAGAGTGGTGCTATGAGCGATGGTAACGAGGCTACAGTGGTTCAACTTGAGGGAAATGTGGTGGCAGCATCAACCACCTTGACTGACTTTGGGGGCTTTGGCCAATTTTAGGGTCGTCGATATGTAGTTACTTTCTTCTTCTCTATTCCTGCTATCGGGAGATTTGGTCCTTGCTTCTGCCCTGTTGAGGCTTATTATGGAAGAGGTAGAAGATAGGCATCGTAGTAGATGCATCTCAGGACCTCAATATCGGATGGGATTGCTTTATCGGTCTGCTATTCACACGCATGCTAATCAATAAAAAAATGCCAAAAATACCGTGCCCAATACACAATTTGGTGAATCCGTATTTCTCCGTGCTCAGACGTATCGTTTCATCCCCGACGCACACATAGATCGGTTCTCAAAACCCATTTTTCTCCATCTTGAACCTCTCGTCCCTCATGCTACCATGATTTTCCTTGTTTAGTATTGGGCGAATAACGAAGACGAAGATGAGCAATCAAAAAGAGGGGGATCACAATTGGTCAACTTACCAGCAGACAATCATCACCATGCTTGTGCAACAGCAGCATGCCTGTCTCAAGCGATACGGCGATTTCTTCAGCAGCAGACTTGCGATCGTGGGGATAAAAGACCGTTTCGCCACCAATACAGCCCTCGGCAGAGGAGGTGAGGTATAGGAGGAGCGTCCAAGTAGTCTTGACGGGGACAGAATCAAGGATTAGGTTGTTGGAGTCGTCGTCTAACAAAGCGACATGTCAATTAATTTGGTTTTTGGATGGGTCGAACGTTGAAAAGATGGGCGACACATACAATGGCAGTCAAAGTATTGGCCCTTGGAGTAGCGGTAGATGCGAATGTTTGGGCTGAGGCCTACGGGCTCGCCGCCCCTGCAGAGGTTGAAGAAGGCCAGTCAGCAATGCTCAGATCGTGTGTTGGATGGATCAATCGACGTACCATAGGTCTCTTATGGTTTCATTCTCCAATATGACTTCTTTTAGGCCGGTAGTCTCCCATAATCGCAGTGCAAATGCCGGATCATCGATCTGGAACCTGTCATTGACGCGGACCGCTTCTCCCTTCTTGGGCCGTGAAGGCGTCGTCTGCAGCGGCAAAGTTTTTAAAAATGCGACGTAATCGCGGCAGAGGGAGCGAGGGAAAAAGGAAGAGAGAAGAACGATGTTGGAAGTGGCGGGATGAAGCTCTGGATGCAGCTCGACGACAGGCAAGGGTGGCTTAAAGACCGGCCATGACGGTGGAGGTGGAGGCGCGGCTTGAACCGGCGCGGAGGATTTGGATGGTTTTGATTTGGCCATTTGATTTTGGGCGAGCTTTTGATGAAGGTTTTTGAAGCGGAATGTGTTGTAGCTGTATCTGGCTGGTCAATGATGAGGCCTGTACTCTGTATGTAAAACGTGCATGGGTTCAGTTGCTTGTTGTTGGGCTTGTGATGATCTGGAGCAGCTGATCAGCGCAAGGTTACGACACTCAAAAGTCTTGGTCTCAAAATACATGCTCGAAATCGGATTTCTGGCTTACGAGCATAAATGCAGATATAACAATAGCTGGCATTTGGTTCAGTAAGTACCTACATGTACTAAGGATGCTGTCAAGTCGAGCACTTGTTTTGGGCAGGTTCCGTCAAGTTGTTAGTGTGCAGCTATCCGAATCGGTCGGGTGACGTCTACAGTGATACCGGCGGCGGATATGCACTAAGATGAGAAAGTTGCTTCTATCAAAACCAACCTCAACCACCATCTCATGGACAGGCCAGAATTGCCAGCAGCAAGAGAAAAAACAATACAAGCAGCACATAATTGAGTTACCTGGAGGAAAGAATACGGCAAATTCAATTATGCTCTACGGTGTCGGAACATCCATCATGTCTCAGGGACCGCCACAAGTCGCACCAGCCACGCCTCGAGAGGCATCACAACCTCAGTCAGTTCGTCGCCAGCCAGACATCAATGCATACTCTGCTTCGTGGAATCGCCCTCTCAAGCAGTTCAGCCTCTTCTTCCTCGGCGCTGCCTTTACCGCGGCTTCAATAGGCGTGTCTCGCCGCTCAGTGGTCCGTCGCCAGCGCGATTCTTTCCCCAAGTTCTACTCGTCCAACACCGTGGGTCCCCAAGAGGGCGCCAATTCCGAGGGCGCTGTGCTGGGCGCCCACGCTTTAGGGCTGGCAACGCTCAACGTATCCAGCTTTGCGGTGATGCTCATAGGGGGTCTGTCATGGGCGTTTGATTTGAGCTCTGTGGAAGAGTTGAGAACCAAGACGAGAGCGGCGCTGCAGAGACCTGGTGGGGAGGTTAGCCCGGAGGACGAGAAGGAGTTTGAGCAGATGATGGACAACTTGATGGCCAAGCTGGGGATGGATAAGGCTTCAGTGCAGAGTGCAGGGGATGGAGACAAGAAAGGCGAAGCCGAGAAGTGAAGCCCCCGCCTCTCTTCAACATTGAACAACCTCTTTTTAGTTTTCCTCCGCCATGACATTATCGAAGCAAATTATGGCGCCCCCTTTTGTTTAACTTTTGCAAGGTGGCGGCATCTGATATTTGGAAGAGACGTGGCACGCCGACTTGGTAATAGGGAGCTTTGAGACTACGAAAATCTGGATATCGACGATGCGGCGTTTGATATCCACATGTACAATTACAACCTCACACGACTTTATTATGTTTTCAACGATGACATGGGCTGCACTGTAGAGTGCTTCGCATTACTTGTACGATATCGGGGCATTTATGGGGAAAATATATCATCAATGGCACCTTGTTGGCCACTTATCTTGAGAAACTGAACAGCGATCGCAATTTCTTTTTTTTTCTTTCTCTTCTGTGCCAGGCAATGATGGGATGCGAATACGATGCGAATACGAAATCGTTTCCCTTTATGGCAGGAACGAGCATGGGAATCAAAGCGATGATGAACTTCCAAGGTTTGTATCTCCGACTGCGACGCCAGCGCAATCCTCAGCTTCTACCTACTAATCCAATGCACTACCTAATGTACCTGGATATGAAATTACAACGATTTTATACAGGCTGTAAGTTGACCTCGATTTTCCCCTCTCAGACACCGAGATGCATATTAAGCGCGGCATTTGGCCGTAGCAATTCTTCCCCAAGAAAGGAAGAGGGGAAAAAAAAAGAGAACAAAGGAAAAGAGAAAGCAAGGAGAGCAAGAACCCCCTGCCTAGGAAATATGAATAGCTCAAAAAGAACTCTATGCCATGAACGCCGGAAAATGTGATAAGCCAATGTCAAAGTTGCGAATTCATCCTCTTCCCCATCATCTTGTTTGATTCCCCAAGCACCACTTGATCATGATTTTGTTTCTGACTCTGTCTTCTTTAGGCTCCTTCGCCATTCTTGAAGGTCTTCGATGCCCTCGAGACTTGCTCTGCGACCCCAGTTGGCCGGCTGCCTCTTGAGGAAAGCACCGACAGCGCCGAGGTAGCCTTCGTGCCGCAAAAAGTAGGCCTGCTTCTCGCCCTTGCTCCAGAACTTGATGGCGTAGCTGAGCGTGTTCATTGTCTGGCGGTGGCCTCTGATAAAGGAGCCGCCAAAGTAAATGTCGTTGAGGCTGTGGATCTGGGATTGCAAGTAGGCGATTTGGCCGATGTTATTGGACACGGCATACAGCAGCGATCTTGATATGTCGGCAGAAGAGAAGGAATGGCTGGGTTGCGAATCATCGTGAGCATCGCCATGCGCGTGACTGTTGCTGTCATGATGCTCCGACTCGCCCGCAGCCTCTGCAGCTTCGGCTTGCAGCTTCATGCGGAATACCTTTCCAAACGAAGACGCAATGGCGGTGCTCTTAAGGCCGATCTTGCCATAGTCGGCGCCATATATGTCTCCAATCATCATGTCAACTTTGGTGTTGTCGCCATGTTCCGCCTCGGCCAGCATGTCATCAAACGATCGTGCGCCGGTCAAGAGAGAGAGAAGACCCCAGAGGGTGCCGCCGCCGAGTGATGTGCCGCCGACTCGCTGAAACGACCGAGGGCCCGTAACCTTGAGCATGGAAACGCCGGAGCCAATGTTTACAAGAAGATATGGATATATGATCTCTCGAGGGCTCACGAAATGCATGGGGTCTGCTTCGGAGTAGGTAAAAACCTCGCGGGGAATTTCCTGGATGAAGAAGTCGAGTCCTGTTTGGTCAAGGTTAGCTCCCGGCTACCTCATCTTGATTTCTTTTTTCGGAGCTATTTCGTCTTACCAACTATCAGGCACTCCATCTCGTCTTCTCGCAATACCTCGACTTCCAATGCGTCTCGGATGATGTCGTAAAACTTGTATGCGCCACCACCAGTGGCCATGACGCACAGCTCCTGCGACCGCGACCCATTGAGGGCCTTGTGCTTGTCGCGCAGCAGCTTCATGAACTCGATGCAGTCGTCAATGCGATCCGTCTCGAAATATTGGAAGTTGAGGCGACCGCCAGGGTCTGTGGAATCGACCTCGCGAGAAAAGTAGACGAGTTTGACAAGAGAACCGCCAATCTGGAATGATACAACATGGGTTAGTCAAACAAGGCAAACATGAAGCGCAATGCCAAAGCAAAAGGCAAAAAAAAAGAAGAAAAGAAGAAAAAAAAAAGATCATTGATCATTGGGAGACACGCAGGGAGAAGCAAAGGATGCGCCTTACATCCACTGCGATATGGCTGACCACAGCTGTGTGGTTTGGCAGCCGGATGTCGCTTGTCTCGTGATGCGACGGACTGACTCTGCCATTGTCGCTGCCGTTCTGCGCAGGCGTTGCAGCGTCCGGGTCGACAATGAAGGCGCCGGTGACATTGATCTTGACGCTTCCGGGGCGTGTGATTGTATTGTCGATTTCTTCCGTCGATGTCATGGTCCGCGGCCGCTTGGCTATGCGCTTCTGCTCGTCGTCGTCGGCCTCGTGCTCATTATGCCGCTGTCTTTGCAGGTGATTGAGACTGTGGTTTGGCGGGGCAGCCGAGGCGGGTTCCTCGGTCGCAACGAAGGGCGTCATTGTCGATTTTTCTTCTTCTTCTTCTGTCTCCTGCTTTCCGTTCTTGAGAGATGAAAGAATCAAGAGAAGAGGGAAATACGAAATAGAGACAATAACGGCCGA